CGCCCCGCCCCGCCCCGCCCCGACATTGTGTGTTTCACAGGCTTTGCTGTTTCTCTCGATTCTCCGATTCTCCGTGGCCTCCACTGGGTGTGTATATGGAGAATTGTGCCTCAGACTCTTCAGGGTGGCGCCCTGTCTTAGTTACTATCTCGTGTCTCTAGCAAGAAGCAGAGTGCCTGGCACATGGTAGATTTGGGTGGAATGAAAAAGGGATGACATCACGTCCAGGGTAGGCAGAGGTGGGGTTGGTGTTGAGTTTCCATGAAAGTTGGGTTTGATTACCGAGAAAAGTTAGACGTGGCAAGTTTTAAACTTTTGCCAGAGAGGAGAATCCAGTGGCCCTGTGTACATATAAACCAGGGCTCAGAAAATCTCTGGCGTTTCTTCCTTTACTGACAGTGTGATGGGTGTGGCCCCAGGCAGCCTTTCTCTCTCAATCTTTTGTAGTTCAAGGTTACATCTAGCCTACATTTAAGCATTTATCTCCCCCTGACAGTTATATCCTTCTTGAGGGCACTGATTATTCTTCTGTAGGGTTGTTAAATATGGTATGTGTGTGGATCGCGTGTGTGCACATGGGCTGGGGAACAGAGATGTGCGTTTCTTCTCCAGCTGGGATAGATTTAGGCATTAGCCCATTAAAAACCAAGGGTTATTGTAAGAACATTTCGCTTTAAGCACGAGCATTTTATTTTAGCAAACAGAGGAGATTATGGAAGCGTTGCATAAAGCCAGTTGATGGCAAATGTCACATCTGTCCCCCAACGTGGGAGCTGAATCTCTTGCTCACGGTTCCCCTGTCTCTTTGCTTTGCAGTCTCTCATCACATTTGTGAACAAGCACCTGAACAAGCTGAATTTGGAGGTGACGGAACTAGAGACCCAGGTAAGCTGTGTTCTGGGCTGAAGGACCCTTTGTCCGGTGTCATTTTCAGCCAGCTTTCTGATCCCCGGAGGGCCGTGTGAACAAAGTGTGTTCGTCTAACAAGGAATGCCCATCCCACAGCCAAGAAAGCCCCAGCCCCAGCCATCCTGGCCTTCTCCCAGACCCTCTGTCTTAATTTCTTGGGGCTATACCTTAACTAGTACCTTAAACAACAGACATTTATGCCTTCATAGTTCTGGAGGCCAGAAGTCCCAGATCAAGGTGTCTGCAGGGCTGGTTCCTTCTGAGGCTCTGAGTGGGGATCTGTTCCAGGCTCTCCCCCACCTCCTGGTGGCTTGCTGGTAATTTTTAGCGTTCCTTGGGTCATTAGATGTTTCATCCCGATCTCGGCCTCCTTGTGGGTGTTGTATCCAAATTTTCCCTTTTTGTAAAAACACAGCCACGTTGGATTAAGACCCACCCTAATGACCTCATCTTAACGTGAGGACTTCCGCAAAGACCCTGGTTTTCCAAATAAATTCACGCTCACAGATTCTGGGGGTTAGGATCCCAACACATCTTTTTCTGAGGGGGATACAATTCAAGCATAACACCCTCCAAGGTGCCATCGCACCTTCACCAAAGAGCCTCTGCGTGTACGGGTCCCTCAGTCTGGAATGTCCTGGCCCCCTCTGCTTCTGCTGTCCGTGGCTGTCCTGCACGCAGCGCAGCGGCTGGCACCTAGCAAATGCTTGCTAATGTCCCTCTAATGAATACGCACAAAGTATTTTTCCTACAGTAAGTATAGAAAGTATGCTTCCCCACCCCCACTCAGAGCGGAAGCACCATCGTGAAAATATGTTTCAAGTGCTCGGCAAGCATTAAAGACAAAATATAATTTTCCCAGGATTAGCTGGGTGCCTGAATTTGGCGTCTTTTGCGTTCTCGGTGCCGATTTCTCTAATGCGCAGCTGATGCTACTCAAACCCCTGGGTGATTGCATTCATTCCTTTCTTTAACTTTTCTCATTTGCTTTTCTAATTAAAAAAGTAATTCAGGTTCATTGTAGAAATGTCTGAAAATGCAGATAAGCAAAACAAATAAAAATCATCCGTAATCCCATCACCCAGAGATAGCGGTGCTGGGGATTTTATTCCACATCATTTCTCTGCGCGGGTAGCTCATCGTGGGCAGCACGGGTCTGTGTTTGAAAGCCGAATGGTCCGTTTTTAATGTGTATATTTATTTGTGCATTGTTTGCAAACACACTTATTTTTTTATCAGTTTACTAAAAAATTGCACATTTAGCCTCTGATTATTTGCGGCTTGAAATATTAACAGTCCAGAAGTGTACTCATTGAAAAGCAACAGTCCTTTTTTCTACTCCCCCTAAACTCTCCCGTCATCCTCTCCAGAGGTAGTGAACTACAGTTAATGGTTGGATGTGTATTTTTCTAGATGGTTTGTATGCGTAAGTGTATTTTTTGAAATGGCAATGGATCATACTGTACAGCTGTTTTGTAGTGTTTTTTGTTACTAAATAGTGTGGGCATGTTTTTGTGTGAGTGTGTGTGTGTTTCTGTCTAGTCCTTTTTGTGTTGTCTGGTCTGTCTGCCTGTGTTTGTCACTTTTAATAGCTGCCTTCTGTTCTGTTCTAAGACTGTGTTGTGCGTCATTAAACCCAGTCCTCATGGTGGGACGTTTGCCGATCTTGTCAATAGCTGTTCAGCGGGCACCTTTGCACACAGCTGTTTGTGCCCTTGCCTGCTTCCTTAGGATAAACTTCTAGAAATGGGGTCGTTGGAGCATTTCTCCGCGGTAACACGGAGGGCCCAGGAAGGTTTGCCTGCCTGAAACTCTCATTGGCGCTGTTGAGAACCCACATCCTCGCCAACTCGTTCCGACTGTCACTGCCCAGGTGGGCCTGCACAGCAGTATTAATAGCCAGACGTCTTAGGCTGAGGCTCTAAATTTCAATTGCATTGATCTCTATGTACTCAGTATGTCCTTTTTTTTTTTTCCTATCACCACACCATATGAAGTAATATCTTAAAAATATTTTGAACCAGTGGTCCACCAGGAAAGCTCACTGGCCATAGAAATGCAGATTTTTTTCCTTTTGTGGCAAAGGATTCTGGGTATTTTTATAAATATGTTCATCATTAAAGTCTCGATGTCCTGGAAGTCAGAGGCTCAAATTCCTGCTCAGGGTGTGTGTGTGTGTGTGTTTTCCTTTCTTTCTAAAACCACTTTTATACTGTGGGCTGCTTCCTAGCTCTGTGATACTGAGCCAGTTCCTCTTTGAACCTCTCCCCACATGTTTAAACTGGAATGGAGAAAGTGCATTTGAAAGGTCAGTGATACACGCGCATGAAGACGGCGGTGATGGTGTCTTCGGGCCTCCGTGGGGATGTCCATCTCCTGCAGAACTGCACCGTGGATGCTGAGTGAGGGCACCCCGTCGGAGGGCCACTGCTCTTGTGCGTGTGAAAACCGAGGGTCCCACTCATTTGCTGATAAGCCGGCCCGCTCCGCCTGGCCCTCACCCTCCTGGTACCCCATCCCTCCCCTGCCTTCCTTTCTGCGTGACCATCTCTCCCACACTCCTGTGACACGGGGGTCCCAGGGTGGGTTAGAAGATGCCTTGGAAATCAGCAAAGGCTCTCCAGCCATCCTGGCGCCTCAGCACCCATTCCCCACGCCTCCCGGCAGGTGATGGGGCTGGATTCTTCTGTATCCCTGGAAATGGCTCAGTGTTGGTGAGAGAGCGGTTTTGGGGGTGCGCTGGCTCAGTGTCGCCGGGGAGGGGGCAAGAGCTGCCAGAACATTCCACCAGCACTGTCGGCCAGACAGGAGCTGAGTAAGTGACGTCTGCATGGCTTGGAAGCGTGAACCTCGTGACGCGTAGGCAAAGGGTCAATCAGATCACGTCAAACCAGGGTCTGGAACGCTCTCCCCAGGAACGACCTGCCCGTTCACACATTATGATCATGTCTGTCTGCCTTGGGCTGCTTCTTAGCGTCCCCTTCCCCTTCCAGAGGACAGGGCTTTCTGATGTTGGAGGCTTGTGATTTTGACGTTTTATCCTCGGCCGCCCGGCTGTGATGGTGGAGGGAGCTGCCGCTGTTGCCTTTAATAAAAACGTCCTCGCTCCTGCAGGTTCTCTTTTTACCACTGCGGTTGCTGGTCTCAGGAAGCTGAAAGCCTCCTGGGTGTCGGCCCCTTGCAGCTGTCCAGCTGTCCCGCGTGGCAGCCTTCTAGCCCAGGGCTGACCAGTGAAACTTTCTTTAGTGATGGAAACATCCTATCACTGCACCATCCGACACAGTAGCCATTGGCCACGTGTGGCTGTCAAGCACTTGAAATGGGGCCTGTGTGACTGAGGAGCTGAATTTTGTATTTTATTTAAATTTTTTTAAATTGAAACTTAAGAGTTCTGGAGTTGGTTGCACAACAACGTGAATGTACAAAATATGACTGAAATGCACACTGACAAATGGTTAAAATGGTACATTTCGTGTTATGTACGTTTTACCGAAATAAGCCAACATCATTCAAAAAAGTTTGTAAAGGGACTTCCTTGGTGGTCCAGTGGTTAAGAATCCACCTTCCAATGCAGGGGAAGCAGGTTCAGTCCCTGGTCAGGGAAACTAAGATCCCATGTGCCGCAACTATTGAGCCCGTGCCACAACTAGAGAGAAGCCTGTGTGCCACAACGAAAGATCCCGCATGCCTCAACGGAGACCCGTTGCAGCCAAATAAATAAATTAATAAGTTAAAAAAAATTTTCGTAAAAAATTTCACTAGGCACATGTGGCCAGTGGCTACCATATTGGACCACACAGTTCCAGAATCTGGAGGCTGGGGTCCCTCAGAGATACCATGTCTGCCCTCTGGGAGGATGGGCGGGTCCTGCCCCCCTGCCCCGCCCCCGGGGGGTGGGGGTTGGGGCTGGTCCTTGTCCCAGAGACCAGGCTCTGCCTCCTGAGCCTTGGTCCCCTCCTCCCCTCTGGCAAGTTGTTCTGCCCTCATTGGTCTCCGTCACTTTATCTGTAAAAGGAGCAGTTGCTCCCTGTCCTGGCTTATTGGGCGGTGGGCAGCGGAGTGGGGTGAGGGGCCCCGGCAAAGAGCACAGTCTTTGGCTCTAGATCCCTGGGCCTCTCCTGTGCATGGGAGGTGGTGCTGGGCCGGGTGCAGGTTGAGGGGCTGGGGGTGTGGGGTAAGGCTGCAGCCTGCTGATTAGGGCCCAGCTAGGATGGACCCGCGTGCTGGGTGCACACAGAAGCTTGTCGTCACCGGGGCGTGGGAGGGTCTCTTCCTATGCCGTGAATACCGCTAGAAGAAGGAACTCAGGCAGCTGACAAAGTGAGCAAACCAAACCCCAAACCGAAGCATAGGGCGCCCCGCAGGTGGTGGATTAACCGCGCCCACAGGCCCCTGCTCACTGATGGAGGCTCCCTGCGTGCTGGGTGCTCCTTGCTCCACCTCTCCCCCTCCCTCCCCGCAGCGTACCCACGACAGCCCAGAGAGTTGGGAGCTAGTGTCATCCCCAAGGTCAGTGGCCTGCTTCTCTCCACGCAGCGGCACTCCATCCCAAACACACAGGTCACCACATCCAATCCCGAGCACGTGCTTTGCACCCTCGTCCTTCACCTGACTGCAGGCTCGCTCTCCTCAACAAGGGATGGATTTTTTTTTTTTTTTACTTTCAAACATTTTCCTCCTTTTGAGTGGCTGCAGATCATTCACTGACTCCGTGCGTGGCCCAGAAACATCACCACGTGTCCCTCTGTAGTTTGCAGACGGCGTGTACCTGGTTCTACTCATGGGGCTCCTGGAAGGCTACTTTGTACCCCTGCACAACTTCTATCTGACCCCGGACAGCTTCGATCAGAAGGTACGTGCGTGCCTGGTCTCCATCCCGGGAGTGGCCCGGGATGCGCTCATCCAAGGGCACAGTGTAGAATCCCCCGACCACTCTCTCTGGAGTCTAGCTGCATTCTCCAAAAGATAAGTACTGCCCAGAAAATGGTATTGCAATTAGAGGTGACCCTCAGGAAAAGAAGGAAACCCGTGGGCATTGCCTGACGCATCCAAGTGTCGTGTGCCTCGTTCTCTTCGGGTCTTTCCCCCGGGACGATGCTGGTTTTAATAATTGTGGCCAAAGGCCAGTAGAGTTGCAAATCCCTCCCCTGTTCATGACACACAGACATCCTGTCTGGTTTTCCTGCCGCTTCATGAACTTCCTATATATACCATCTTAAGTGGCGGCACAAAGTCTATGGAGTGGCTCTGAGGTCACTGTCTCCCTGGTCCCCACTTTTGGGCGATCAACTTGTTTCTTTTTCACTATTAAAACAATAAGGCAGGGACTTCCCTGGTGGTGCAGTGGTTAGGAATCCGCCTGCCAATGCAGGGGACACAGGTTCGAGCCCTGGTCCAGGAAGATCCCACATGCCGCGGGGCAGCTAAGCCCGTGCACTACAACTACTGAGCCTGTGCACCTAGAGCCTGTGCTCCGCAACAAGAGAAGCCACCGCCATGAGAAGCCTGCGCACAGCAACAAAGAGTAGCCCCCGCTCGCCGCAACTAGAGAACGCCCGCGCGCAGCAACGAAGACCCAAATGCAACCAAAAATAAATAAATAATCTGTTAAAAATTATTTAGAAACAAAACAATAAGGCATTGTCTTGAATAGGTACACACACACGTATGTATGTGTGCGTATAGTTTTTTCATTCCTGTGGACTGTTTTCTAGGAAAATCCCTCAAAGAGGATTGTCTGGGTCAAAGGGCATGACCTTCACATTTGGGATGCCATTGTGACCAGGTGGTTTGCCCCCTGCCAGGGCTTCCCGAGGTCCAGCCATCCCAGCAGTATTTAGCGCATTGCTTTTAGAAATTTGGCTCGTGGACTGGCCGTATTGCTTGAACTCGAGAGCATCTGTCATTTTATTTTCCCGAAGCGCTAGACCGTGAGTTGGGGAGACAGACAATGCAAGCAGGTGGCAGCAGTCAGAGAAACATGGAAGCAGGGCCAGTGTTTTATCAATCTGCCCACTTCCGGCACCTCGAGGGCGGATTGCTCGCGGCCAAATGCCGCTGCCCTCTTGCCTGCTGAGATGGAATCAGAGCAGATCAGCGAGGTCCTGGCAGGTTTGCGTCCGCGGTGAGCGGGGACGCACAGGGCTCTGCGGGGCCCGTCGGGAAGCAAGAAGACAAGACAGTTGTGTGATGGGGCTCATCTTGCATTTCCCGGCCACGTGGCTGGCCGCAGAAACGTTGTTTTGGAGAGATCTTTTCTTTGTTCAGATGAGTATGAAGGCTGGCAAGAAGGGTGAATTTAGTCAGGCCGTCTGGAGCCAGGCTTCTTTCCAGGACAGGCTCGGTGCAGGGGCGGGGGCGTCCCCTCCCAGCTCCGTCTTCCTCCCTTTGAGACGGGATGAAAGTCTCTGTCAGTCGCTCTCTGGCCTGGGAGGTGTGAGGCCTGTTCGGTCCACCTTTGCCTCTGATAGGGAGCCAGGAAGGGAAGGCTGCTGTAGGGGACCGTGCCCAGCGTGGTGCTGGCCCATCGACCCTCGAGGAGGGGACCCAAGGGCCGCTGGAGCTCTCCTCGGAAGGGGCCGGCCTTCTGGAGGGTCCTTCTCTGGCCACGTTAGCCCCCAGCTCCCACCCCTGGATTCTCTGCTTTCCTCCCCACAGGGAGTCGTGGCATCACGCCACCGCTGGGAGGTTCCTCGTGAGCCATGGTGGTTATTAACCTCCAGGTCTTCCCGACCAGCTCGCAGGTGGTGGCCTTTCCCCATTGCACAGACCTGAACCCACTTCAGGTCTTCAGGCCGGTCCCAGTGCCCGAGCTCCCAGGCACCTCATCCAGATGTGGCCAGGCAGTGGTGACATGTGCAGAGAGACTGTCACGGAGCATTCCCGGGCCGAGACTGCGAGGCGCTGGGAATCTTTGCAGCAGCGGCAGGAGGCTGAGACTCAGTGAGCAAAATCAGGGCTGCGTCGTGGGCTTGTGTTTTTAAACAACTGCACTGGATTTTATTTTTTTTAATAAATTTATTTATTTATTTGTTTGTTTTTTATTTTTGGCTGTGTTGGGTCTTCGTTGCTGCACAACGGGCTTTCTCTAGTTGCGGCGAGCGGGGTCTACTCTTCGTTGCGATGTGCGGTCTTCTCATTGCGGTGGCTTCTCTTGTTGCGGAGCACGGGCTCTAGGCGTGCGGGCTTCAGTAGTTGTGACACGCGGGTTCAGTAGTTGTGGCTCGCAGGCTCTAGAGCACAGGCTCAGTAGCTGTGGCACGTGGGCTCAGTAGTTGTGGCTCGTGGGCTCTAGAGCGCAGGCTCAGTAGTTGTGGTGCACGGGCTTAGCTTCTCCGGGGCATGTGGGATCTTCCCGGACCAGGGCTCGAACCCGTGTTCCTTGCATTGTCAGGCAGATTCTTAACCACTGCACCATCAGGGAAGCCCCCTGTACTGGATTTTAAAAAGACGAGACCAGACGTCTCCGACCCTGTAGGTTCCTGCAAACAAATGAACGGCCCCTTTGAACTGTCTCAGAGCATTGGGTACCACCGACGGCTTCTTGTTTTAGGCCCACCGTTTGAGCCTTGCTCTGTGCTGGCCACTTTGCTGGGTCCCTTGGGCTCGTCACTCATCTTCTGGAAGATTCCACAGCGTCCCTCTCTCTGGGGGTGGAGTGTGTCCTGGAGACTTGGAGGTTATTCCTAGAAGCAAATCCCAGAAAGGGCTTTGCAGTTTCAAGGCGCTTTCCCTCCTGTCTCCTCGTCTGATTCCCTACCCCGGCGAGGAATCGGGACCTCGCATGGGGGCTGGGGCCATGGTGGGGCGCGGTCGCAGTCAGCAGGGGCAGAGCCGGAAAAGCCCACTCCTTTCGAGGACCCTCTACTCTGCTCTCACCTGGCCAGGTTTTTGAAAATCCTTTGCATTACAGAGAGGAAGGACTTAGGGTCCTGCCCGTGGGCTGGCCCGTAGCAGCAGTGTAGGGCCTCGGGGTTCAGCTCGAGGCTGGGGGGTGTGTCACGCTCTGGGATCACGGTCAGGGAGGTGACCCCACATCCTCATCAGGAGCTGTTTGCTGTTCTTTGTGCCCAGTCCGTGGGGCTGGGCTCTGGGGGTGCTTCTCTGCCAGGGCAGAGGAGTTGTGCATGGTGAGGCATGACTCTGAGAGAGAATGGGAGGAAGATGGGGGGCACTTTCCCTGGTGGCGCAGCGGTTGAGAGTCCGCCTGGCAATGCAGGAGACACGGGTTCATGCCCCGGTCTGGGAGGATCCCACGTGCCGCGGAGCGGCTGGGCCCGTGAGCCATGGCCGCTGAGCCTGCGCGTCCGGAGCCTGTGCTCCGCAACGGGAGAGGCCACAGCAGTGAGAGGCCCGCGTACCGCAAAGAATCCAACGACTGTTGGGACGTCCCTGGTTGTCCAGTGGTTACGTCTCTGTGCTTCCACTGCAGAGAGCATGGGTTCGATCCCTGGTCAGGGAACAAAGATCCCCAGTGCGGCACTGTGTGGCCAAAAATCTATAAATAAAATAAAGTAAAATAAAAGCTTTTAAAAAGTCTACAAATGATTGTTACTTAAAATAACACAAATCACTGTTGTGCTGAGCAGCTGCGGAGAAGTGGGACATGGAAGGGTGCCCCCCCTCCCCCAGCTATTCTCTCCTTGGGGCAGGCGCGGGGCCTCATGGACTGAACCGCACTCCACACCTGTGCTGGGGGCGGATCCTGCAGGTCTGGAGGGGCCATGGAAGACATCCGTTCCCACGTTGGGCTGACGGTCTAACCTGATTTGTTCCATTTCCCCCTCTTTGCCATCTTGACTCTGCCCCCACTCACAGCCTGTTGTGTGTGTATGAATTCTGGGATCTGGACGGCTGTCAGCCGATGGCCGAGGAAGCAGGATGCTTTTGGAGACAGGGCCCAGGTTCCGAATCCAGACTTGGGTGGGCTGAGTGCCGGCCCCATCTCCTTGAACCTTGCGCCTTTCTTGGCACGGATGTCCTCATCTGTTTAGCCCCGGGACCTCCTCTGTAAAGTGGGAGATTACAGACCCTCCTGTCCATTTCCCATGCTCGTCGCAGCTCGAGGCCCAGCCCAGTGCAGCCCTCCCTCCCGGCCGGCTCCGGGCACTGCAGGTGGGGCTCTGGCAGCCTGACTCCCGTCTCCCCACCGCCTCTGCACGGCCTGAGAGCCTCTGGTCATGTGCAGCCCTCCCAGCCCGCTCTGGGCCGTGTCCCCCATTCCAGGGCCCGGCTCCTCTTGATGCCCAGCAGCCCGTGGCTTCCTTTGCTTCTCTGAGCGCGGCCCGGTGCCACTGTGGCCTGGATGCTTCCCTGCCGTACCCCAAGCTCTTGTGGGCTTGACTAGCTGAGGGTTATTTTGCCAAATGTCTTTCTCCTGGTTAATTATTAAACCATATCGCCGGTAAACTTGTTCGCGTGTTTCTGATTTCATTTGCAGTGAAATCATGAAAATGTTATTGTTCAAAGGGTATTCGATTATGAAGAGTCCTAAAGTCCTGTCTAGCGCTGACACTGGTGATGTATTTTAGTTTTTGGTCCTCCGCCCCACACCAGCCTTTGCTCGAAGCAGACGTTTGGCTGCCTGTGATTTGGTTGATCACCGGCATCTCTGTGGTTCAGGTGGACTTTAAACACAGCAGAGAAGGCTCCGTGTCTAACCTCTGCGGCAGCCATTAGCAGAACACGAGCTTCGAGCATCCTTGCGGGCCGAGTGCTGGAGGGGGAGGGGATGTGTGGGGTTGCGGATGTGTCCACCTTTCTGGGGCCGTGCAGGTGAGGGCCAGGACCAGAGCCCAGCTGCAGCCACCAGCAGCCTGACATCAGTTCCAGCAGGGTCCAGTTGCCTGCCCCTTACCAGGGCCACCGCTGTCCTGCCGAGAGCACAGCTGTCACACTCAGCTCGTTTGAGGCCCTTCTGGCAGATGGTGGGTGGCTGCTTTATGCTGGGGATGGTGCAAGGCGCTGGGTACCTTCGGGAAGTGACTTGTCCTTTCTGAGCCTTGGTTGCCTCATCTGTAAAAGGAAGTCACTGTCACTTGTCATCATGTGGATGTGTCGGGACCTGGGGACCCCTAGCCCTTGAGGGCAGGCTTTGTGCCCGCATCCCTGCATGTCCCAGCCGCCCCCGATCATTGGTGAGGGGAGTGAGGACCACCAGGTGAATGTGTGTTACCCTCAAAAGACTCCCTCACCCTCCCTCTGCCCATCCTGTCGCTCTGCCCAGGACACCCCTGTCCTCGTGGCCGTAGTTATCCCAAAGGCTCCCTCTGTCCACACTTGCTCCCATCCCATCCTTTTAGAAGGAAAGCAGGGGGCAGCGGGCAGGCCTGGGACCAGCTGCGGCCCCGGTGCTAACTCTGGCTTCCTCCTCAGGTCCACAACGTGTCATTTGCCTTTGAGCTGATGCTGGATGGAGGCCTTAAGAAGCCCAAGGCTCGCCCCGAAGGTAACGCCCTGACCCAGGTCTTAGAGGGGCTGCCCGGCCAGCCATGTGTCTCCCTTCAGGCCCCGCACGCATGGCTCAGAGGCTGGGCTCTGCCAACCCCAGCTCCACATGTCCCCTGTGCTCAGGGTTTCGGGGACCAAGAGGCCTGTGCTGGCAGAGCCACCAAGGCTGATTCTTTAGTAACCACTTGACTTGGAGGACGTGGCCTCTGCTCCACGGCCTCAGGGTTTAATTGCCTCTCCAGGTGCCATTGCTCAGACTAGAGATGCCGCTTCACGTCTTGAAAGGATATTATAGGTTTACTGCAGTTTAATGCCTGTCGGGTCGATGTCCTGATGCCCGGGCGATGCTCATGAGCAGGGACGTGGCTCAGTCATGCCCCATGAGCTCTGAATGGCAGTGGAGACCCGCAGAGCCCCGCCTCGCTGTCATACGTGGCTCCTATGTTAAATGACCTATACCAGGAATCCCTAATGCAAATGGGCATCTGAATCCCGGGGTGGGGGTGGGGGGCTTCCTCCAACACAGCTCCTGATTTGGGGGCTGTGGAATGGATCCTCCAGGTCCCGTTTGTAACACGTTGCCAGGTGACGCTAGCGCTTCTGGTCCGGGGACCCCACTTTGGGAATCACCGCCCTACAGTGACGGCATGAATTCTGGGTGGGGTGTCCTCCGCACACACACCCCCTGGGAGGCTCGGCAGCCACCGCTGAACACCCATCCGGGGACAGGAATTCCGTCCTGTGACCTGTGATCCCCATAGCCCTCCCCAAGCCCCTGGTCTGAGCTCACAGAGCAAGAGGGAAGAACCAGGTCGCTGACTCCAGGTCGCTGACCAGGAGGACAGAGCCCTTTCCCACCAAACAAGGCGGCTGGGACTTACTGGGCCACACGCTGTGCCTGACCTTGAGGGGGTGGGACAGCAGCTCCCACCTGCCCTGCCCCAAGAGGCCCTGGCACAGGATGGCCTGTGGGTGTTTGGTCCCCAGTAAATGTCCTCGGTTGTCGTAGACCCTACACCACGCAGATTTGTCCAATGCAAATCCTAGAAGGGATGAAGGAATATCCTCGCCATCCCAGGTGCTCATCCCATGGGTAGCGGCCCGGGGGCTCTCACGGCAGTCTGTATCCTGGGGGATGGCAGAAGTGCGCCGCTTGGGGACACAGAGGATGTCCTACGTGTCTCCCAAGTGCTTGGGGCACCAAGGCTTGGGGCGCACTCTCTCATCCACCAAACGGTCTCTCTGTTTCCTTCTGCAGATGTGGTGAACCTGGACCTCAAATCCACCCTGCGGGTTCTTTACAACCTGTTCACCAAATACAAGCACCTGGAGTGATGGCCGGGGAGCAGCAGAGACCGCGGCGGGGACGGTGCTTTGGGAGGTGCCCTGGCCTCCCCTCCAAGCCCGCGGTTGTTCCCCCGCTCCCACCCCACCTTTTTCTGGTTGATACTCTTAACCTCCTTTCCCTGTAATTCTGCAGCGGGTGGCCTCTTTTGAAATGCAGGTTCCAAACACCAGTGCTCGAGTTTGCAGCCTGGCTTCACCTGGGGTGTCCCGGGGTGCTGTCCCTTGTTGATCAAAAGATGGAAAAGAAAAAAGCCGGAACCCCTGGGAGGGGGCGCCCGGCGTGCCAGCTGACAGCCATCAGTGACCACAGGGGATCAGAGATGGAGCTTCGCAGCAGTGGCAGTGGCTTGTCTGTCCCCGTGGAATCTCCTGGGTAGGGCTCTCCTCGGCAATGAGGGCTTTTTACTAAAAAGCGTTTTGCAGTTTTACAAACTTCACTCTTAAGTCTCAGAAGCTTTAGCTGTGACCGAGTGTCCACCCACATCCCTGCTTCTTGGCCACTCAGTGCTGTTTTCATTTAGCTTTTGCACAGACATCTGGGACCCAGAGGACCCAGCTGCCACGGTCCGAGGGAGGAAGGATTTCTGAGGCATTTCTTTATTTCTTGCTATGGCCGAGGGGGCTGTGTCGGAGTCAGCTCTGCAATGCCTCTGGAGTGGCAGCGGCATTGTAGACACCTTCGGGTGGGAAGCGGCCAGTCCCAGACCTCCTGTTTGGGGATGGATGCATTTTAAAAAGCCTTTAGAAAGCAGGGTGTTTTAGTTGGCTTGGGCCGCCATGACAAAGTGCCACAGACGGGGACCTTAGACAACAGACATTTATTTTCTCACAGCTCTGGAGACTGGAAGTCGAGATCAAGGTGTCCTCAGGGTTGGTACCTTCCGAGCGTCTCCCCTTGGCTTGTAGACGCCGCCTTCTCCAGGCATTCTCACGTGTCTCCCCGTGTGTCTGTGTCCTAATCTCTTCTTTTAAGGACACCAGGCAGATTGGATTGGGGTCTACCCTAATGACCTCATTTTACCTTAATTACCTCTGTAAAGACCCTGTCACCAAATACTGTCACGTTCTCAGGTCCTGGGGGTTAGGACTTCAACATGTGGGTTCTGGGGGGAGTGGGCACAGCTCAGCCTGTAACAGGGAGATGTGACGTGTTCACCTCTCTCCTCCCCGAGTACCAGCTTTCTGGAGCCCTGTCGGCATCCTTTCGGGCACCTTGTTGAAGGAAATGCGATCCCCCGTCTGCGTGCTCTTCAGCCCGCGCCCACCTTGGCTCAGAAGAGAAATGGGGACTCATAGGCTGGGTCTGAGGCGGGTCCTATGCCGGGTCACCCCCTCCCCCAACCCCTGGCTCCCGAGCTGGGGTTTTTATGACACGCCGCCCACCTGAGTTCACCCAGCATCAGCTCAAATCTACTGTTTGATTTTCGCCTTCGTGCTGTAGATCAGAGCTGCTGAGAAAGTTGTTAATATTAAAGTGAATACCGACGCTCAAGACTTAGAAAACACTTTCATGTTCTGTCTCAGCTCAGGCAGCTGCCAGGCTGGGGATGGGTTCAGAAGAGCCGTTTTGATGGAGGCGGTTACCCAGCAGGGGAAAGAAATAATGAAAATGGCATTACGGTGTCTCCTGCGGGATGCAGTGACATTTAAGAACCAACAAAAGAGCCGGGGCTGGAACGTTCTGGGCCGCCTTCATTACACGTGTAGAATCACAGTAACCGCGGCTGGTGGAGACCCATCCACCTGCCTTGTCCACAGGTGGGCTTGCCAAGGGTGCTGCTGCCTCCTGGGGGCCCTGGGGGGATGACGGAGGTGAGGTTGGGGTTTGGAAGAAAGCCTCGAGGGTCTTCAGCCCAGGTGGGCGGCTCCAGCCTGTTCCACGCCCTGGAGGGGCGCGATTGGTTACTCCGGGGATGGGGATAGGGGTCGGGGTTCAGCGAGCCTACTTCAAGCCCTCTGTGCTTCAAGTAGGAGAGAACAGGAATGATAAGATATGTGGGAAAAGTATAAACAGGCACTTTTGTGTCATAATGCTGACTGTTTAAGGCCATGCTCCAGCAGAGAATGCAATCTAGTCTCCAAAGTATTTTTTTTTCAAATTGGTGCAAAGGTGTAGGTGTGCCTTCCGCCCACCCGCGAAGGACCTCCTCGGGCTGTACGCGTCTCGTCTTCCCCCCTTGACTCAGAACTGAAAGTGGGGCCTGGACGGGTGTGGAGGTGAGGGTTGGTGAAGAAACCTCCGGGCAAAAGTCGGGGTGAACTCTGCGGTAGGGAGACTCCTCTGGGGATCCACCCATCGTCCCTGTTGGCTTGGGGACAGCAGTTGTCAGGACGCGAGTTTCAGGGCCTGGGATGTCCCCTCTGTGGGGTGCCACATGCTGGAGCATCTCGGGGCAACTGGAGCAGGAGAAACAGCTTTCTCTTGATTCTCGCAGGGGGGCTCCTTGGAATGCAAACGCTTCCCTCTTAGACCTTAATTGAGGAAAGTTCTGGAACCCTTCCTCCTCCACTGACCCCCATTTTCAGTGAATGGTTTTCTCCCCCTGAAGAGGGACCCTCGTCCTCAGGGACTAAGTGACAGCGAGACCGTTGGCGCCTGCGCGGTGACGGGCAAAGGCTGGGAAATGCCTCCTTTTATTGTCCTCAGGGTGGCGTGTCTTTGAAACCCACTGGTTTTGGGGAGCCTACTTGCAGCTCTGGTTCCCCCGGAACAGCCACACGGCCTCATGCAAGCGCTGAGCCCAGAGCCCCACACACCCTAAGGTCCTAACTGGATGTGACACAGAGCTGTGTTGTTTTAAAGCAACCGAATCCTCGTCCCCAATTTGTGTGCCAATATTTTATTGTCCTTTTCATTGTTTTAAGCAGTGTTTACTTTGGATTTCTGGGTATTAAATAAAAGCCACTGAAACCCTGGCTGTGTTGTCGACCTGCTCGTGGGCTGGCGGCGGGAGCCGGCGCGTTCCAGGGGCGCAGCACCCAGATGATGTGCTGTGGTTTATCCCAGAAAAGGCCGCTGCCTCCGTCTGGCTGCCGTGGTTTCTTTCGTGCCTTTAAAAGCTGTCATGGTTGTGCCAGCCCTGTGCTTGGTGCTGGGGCCACAGGATGCCAGCACAGCCCTGCTCCCTGGGAGCTGCCAGCTGGACGAGGAAGGAGCCAGCTCATGCCCTGTGTGGGGAATGGGGCCCCGGGGGGCTGCGACCAAGGGTTTCATGGGCGGGAGCCATGGCGAGAGGAGGGTGGCGGAGTCACAGCTGCGGCTGAGTCATAATAAAGAACGGAGCAGGCGAGTCTGCCCATGCACCTGGTTCCAAACCAGAGCGGGAGATGCCAGCGGCCAGTGGCACGGGCTGGATGAAAGGGCCACTACAGGGAGATGGTCCCCTCTTTACCCGCTGGGGCAAGAGACCCTGAGGTGATCCGCAGTGCGGCCAGATCTTGGGGGCTGCACGCTGGCCCTGCTGTAAACCCTCCCCGCAGAAGTTGTGGGATGCTTCAGGTGCATCTAACTTTTCTCTACGAAAGGTTAACATTGTGACTATGAAAGTATGGCTAGCCTGGGGCGTGAAGCAACAGTGCTATTAAGAAATGCTAAAAATTACAAACTGTTGCTAGAAAGATCCTGGGCTTTGGAGAGACACCTGGGTTTACATCTGGCTTTGTTCCTGTGTGACTGCTGGTGAGTTAATTAACCCATCCTTTCCAGAGTCACCCCTCACCAAATTCACCCCTCCCTCCCTTAAAATTCCGACCAGGGTGGTTCTCCCCCCCCCCCCCCCCCCCCCCCCCCCCGCCCGACAAGTCTCGCTGCTAGGCACAGCGTGTGCCATTTTGAGAAGAGCAGACTCAGTTCCACATCTCCCAAGATTAATGTTCCAAGGAACCTTCTGGGAAATGTGACCCTGGCCCACTGTACTTGCCTTGGAATAATAGGTTTCTATGGCGTTTGTGTCCTGATCTTCTTGCTCTCAAGAACTGGTTTATGGACTGAAATGAGGCAGTTTGAAAGAGGGAATGGCAGGTATTGTTTAGTGCCACAGAACACAACCATTAGAGAGAAGAGCCCTCTGTTTTATGGTCATTCATATTCTTGTACGATTTTATAAGTGTACATTTGTGCTGGTTAGGGGCTCGAATAGCTATACTTGCCTCTTTAACTAGGTGTTAAGCTCCTTGAAAGTTGAGATCATGGCCTATTTTCTATTTTATTTCCCCTTCTCTATTTTCAAGTGATAGGAACCCAACTTGAGATAATTTCTTGGCTTTTATAATCAAACAAGGACAGAGCAAAAGTAAAGTCGGCTTTGGGTATTACAGATCCTGGGAATCAAATACCCTGAAGACATTCTACCTTCATCTCTCTCTTTCTCTCGTACACATACACATGTGCGTATACGTATAAACACGTGTGCACACATGCGTGCACACGCATGCAAACACTTTTCCCTCTCTTTGTGTGTCACTTCATTTCCTCTTCTGTAGTCATCTCCTCTGCCAGCTGGGCTTAGTTGCTCCGCCGCATGTGGGATCTTCCTGGACCAGGGCTCGAACCCGTGTCCCCTGCATTGGCAGGGGGGGTGCCCCCCCCCCCCCCCGCCCCATACCTGGCAACGTCTGGACACAGTTTGGAGGGAGGGGCATCTCACGATACACAAGACCGGCTCCCCTCCTCCCAACAAAGAATCCCCCAGCTCAAAACGTCCGAGATGCTGAGGTTGAGAAACCCTGCTGTGAATCGCCAAGTCCTTGAGCCTGCCTAACCTGTGGTTTTCTTGGATGGGATAATCTATTAATATTGATGAGGCTAAAGCATCATCCTGTGACGTCAGTTCTTTCAGGCCAGCAACGGTGCCTGACCTTGCAGGAGTCTTCTTGTTGGTCCTGTTCAGGGCACATTCCCCCAGGGTCTGGTTTTGTCCAAGTGGCCAGGGGCACAGCCACGGAGAGAGAGACAGGTGTGTGGATAATTCCCAGGGAGAACCACGATGATGGAGGGGCCC